ATATTTCTAGCATCTAGAAAAATATCTGGCACTCAAGTGCTTAAACCTCAATATATTTCTTGAATGGGATGATTTTACACCATAAAAATGTCAAGTGTCACAAATAATCTAAAAATTTAATGGACTCCCAATTAAAATCAATCTCAACTGATATTTACCTTGACAAGTATCACATTAAAAAAAAAAAAATCTCAAATTGTTAAAATATCAAGAGCATTAACATGTCCACATATGCCTTAAGTTGTCTTTAAGTGATATTCTCAAGCATTCTCAGCACCTGTAAGACTGTAAGACATACGTTAATGATGGTCAAACAACTTGAGAAATGTCTCACAAATGCCTAAATCTAGTTTAGAAATCCCTAGGCCATCAGTCCTCAAATTCATTCCCAAGATCTCTTTAGGGAATCTAAACTATTTTAGGAGATCAAAACAATTTTCAAAATAATACTAAGAGGCTACTAGCCTTTTTCATTCTCATTTTCTCACAACTGTACAGCAGAGTTTTTCAGAAGTTAAATGATGTGTGATGATGCTGCACATCAAATGCAATAAGAAGATACGAGAATCTATCTTCCACTAAATCATAACAAAGATGTCTGCAAGAACATTTAGCTCTTCTCACTATTTTTGAAAATGTATTTAATAATGTCATGTAAAATAACGTAAGTTTATTTTTATTTTTAAATTAAATATTTTAAGAACTTTTCAGTTTTAATTTGTAATACTTCTAACTGGTAGATATAACCCACATAAACAAAAGCTTTCTGTATTCCTTAGGAATTTAAGAGTGTAAAGGAGTCTAGGACCAGAGGTTGAGAACTGCTACTCTAACCTAACCACTGACACTCACACTTCCTCAGTAAAACAATGTTCTGCTCACCTTACAGATCAACTGCAAGGCTGGAATAACTTAGAAGGATAAATAAAGCACAACTAATGAGCAAGTAACATTAAAATTAGCTGAACAGCCTCCTCAAAGGGAATCTCAGCATGAAAGGCTAGAGAGGTTAGTTACTACCAACAAAAGTCTATAAATCTGGTTTCTTATTAATTTATAGCAAACTAGAACTTCTCCTGTCAACTTCGTAAAGCATCAGTACAGGAACAGTCTAGACCAAAAGAACTCTGATTATGCATCTTTTTTTGATGCAATTTATGCAGATAGGAGTTTTATTAATTCAAATATATGCAAATAAGAAATGCATTCCTTTATTAAACCTAGGCTATTTATATTATATTTGTTTGATATATGGATACTGAATCCTAGCCTTTGCCTCAACAAGTTTCCTGACGCAACTGAAAAACATCTGGAAAACTTGCTGAACAAACACCATATCAAAATCTCATTCTTACAGTAACACAAACTGAGGCTGGGCGTGGTGGCTCATGCCTGTAATCGCAGCCCTTTGGGAGGCCAAGGTAGGAGGATCACTTGAGGTCAGGAGTTCGAAACTAGTCAGCCAACATGGTGAAACCCTGTCCCTACTAAAAATAGAAAAATTAGGCGGGCATGGTGTCGGGCACTTATAATCCCAGCTACTTGGAAGGCTAAGGCAGAACTGTTTGAGCCCAGGAGGGGGAGGTTGCAGTAAGTAGAGATCATGCCACTGTACTCCACCCTGGGTGACAGAGCAAGGCTCCATCACAAAAAAAAAAAACAAAAAACAAAAAACTTTTTTTTACACAAACTGGAAGAGAATTCTAGAACTTGGAATTTAAACAAAGTTCTAGAATTCTAAAAATACACAGACAAGAATAAATATCTCAATCGCTGACATATGCTATGCAAATAAAAGTAAATAAGTTAAAATCCAATTTTAAATGAATACTGAGTGGGTAAGAAGTTAAAATAAGGATTAATTAAATATAAGAATTAAGGACAGTGAAGTATTTTATGTTCTTTCCAAGAACTGAAAAGTGGTTACATGCCTTATCTTGATAAATAACAGCTGTGCATTTCTTACCCAGTTCGCACCTTGCTAGAAACATGCCTGGTACAGCCGAGGAGGGAAGGTGGGATGACGGTAAAATCTTTAAAGTGAGGACCTTCACGAAGGAGAATAAAACCAGATCTCTAACTCATTTTACACAAACAAGACTATTAATCCTAAAATTGGACATTCTCCCTCCGTATTTTCTTTCCAGTCTGTGTTTTTGTCCTGTTTACAAATATCCAAAATATCCTTGAAGAAAGGAAAGAAATAGTAAAATAAACAAAGGGAAAAAGCTAACTCACACAGCATGGAACTTGCCATTCCCCATCTCCCAATCTCATATTGAGGACCAAAATAAAAACCCAAGCAGTTCTGCTCAAAGGAGACTCTGCTAAAGCTCAGGATTTCTTAGATACAATCTGAAAGCTACTCATAAAAAGGAGTCCATGAGGCGTTTATACACACATACACACACACACTCACAAAATGTTTCAGCTTCATATGTTAGTATATGAGAAAGTAAGTGTTTTAAAATTATATTGCCACCACTTTCCCATCAACGTGAGCCAAAAAATAAAAACCACAGATTAGTTTGAGAGGGGGAAAAACAGAAACAAAAACAAACCAGCGGCATTTCTTCTACAGTACCAAACCAATCATTTAACAAAAGGGTCTAGTGTGCAATTTACACTTTACACCATCCCTGAAAACCTTTATAAATCAATGAGACACTCACTTTTCCCTAAAAATACACAGACAATAAACCTCTTGTCTCCCAATGGCTTTCTTCCATTGTGAAAGAGCCTGGAAAGTAAAAAGTGGAAGTAGGGTAACATATAACACCTGTAATCCCAGCTACTAGGGAGGCTGAGGTGGGAGGATCACTGGCCAGGCGTTCAAGACCAGTCTGGGCAACATAGTGAGACTGCCCCTCCATCTCCAAAAAACAAAACAAAAACACATATATATGTAATTTTAGATCTAAAGAACACATTTGTGTAATCCTAAACCAAACGAACGAAATTTTTTTAAAAATGTAATAAGACAATCAGGGAAATTAGAAAACTATTTGTTAATGTTTAAGAATCACTGTTAATATTTCTTACAGATTAACTTGGTGGATTCACAGATGAAAAGCTAGGGAGATTTGCTTTAAAATATCAAGTAGGTGGGGGCCGGGCACGGTGGCTCATGCCTGTAATCCCAACACTTTGGGAGGCCGAGACGGGCAGATGACCTGAGGTCGGGAGTTTGAGCCTGACCAACAGAGTAACCTCTCTGCTAAAAATACAAAATTAACCAGACATGGTGGTGCATGCCTGTAAACCAGCTACTTGGGAGGCTGAGGCAGGAGAATCGCTTGAACCCAGGAGGCGGAGGTTGCAGTGAGCTGAGATCGCGCCTTTGCACTAGCCTGGGCAACAAGAGCGAAACTCCGTCTCAAAAAAAAAAAAAAAAAATCTAGTAGGTGGGACGAAACAAAATAGGCCATGTGTTAACAATGGTTGAATCCAGGTAATTAATACATAAAGGTTTATTATACTCATTTATTTTCTAGATGCAGCTGAACATTTCTCTCAGCAAGGAAAAAAGTACTCTATGCATCAAAAATTCCTGCCAAAAATAAAGAAATTTGTGTTCCACTACATCACCCGTAACCCTTTTTTATCATTCGTCTCGTTTGATTAGCAATAATTCTATTCTCCAAACCAATTAACTTCCTCCAATCGACCTAAAACTGAAATACAAGACTGTTGTCTTTTAATTCTACTCATAAGCTAGTCAAACGCTAGGTGAGAAAACGATCCAGGATTACAATTTATAATTAGTAAACTTAACTTCAAGACCACTCATCTGTTTTGAGTCAGACTGATGAACTAGCATTAGTTTTATTTTTTAATTTACCTTACTCTCCGCCTTGTATTTAAGTTTGGTGGGTAGTGTACGAACGTGAAAAGTAACAGATGTTGTTCACTCCCAGGAAGTGAGCTCTTTCAATCATAAGAGTTCAGAACTCAATCGAATGTGACAGAGAGAAATGTCTCAAAAATCTCTAGGTAAGTAACTCGCGTACACCCTTACCCTCCCACCCCAAGCATTTTAGGTGGTTAGAAAGGAGCGACCCCGGTTTGTTTCTTCTTCTTCCCTTCCTTTCTTAGGGGAGGGCTAGAAAGCAAAGAAACGACCAAAAGAGACAGGCCGGAAGAAGGAAAGCGAAAAGCATGGAGGCTGGACAATCAGTCCTCAAATTAATGAGAACTGTATCCAAATCAGATTAAGTTGAGAGAGCGAACTGCTAAACACCTCCCCATAACTCTAACATACCTGAGCCCGCGAGTAGAGAAACCTGGCCGTACTTCACATGCAGGCTGCTTTCTTTCCCAAGTACTCAAAGGTACAAAAAGCATAAAAAGAACTTCCCGACCCTCGCCAAGAGTGGCGCGAGAAAAACCTCGCACTGGCCTGGGCCACGCTGGCGAAGCCGTCCGACCCTCCCCGCGCGGCCGGGAACCCTTAAATGACTGTCCCACTCCTCAGGCCAGGGAAAGGGTAGCTACGGGACCGAGGCACAGCTGGGAGGACCCGCCCGCCGTTGAGGCCCTAAGTGCCCGCCCGGCCTGGGGGCGTGGGCCCGCGCCGCCCACTCTGGGCCCTGGCGCGATGCCACAAGAGAGTGGTGGCAAGCCCGGACCCTGATCCAACCCCGCGCCGGGCGAGACCCGCGCACCCCACAGAGCCACGGCGGCCGCCGCCGTACGGACCCAACCCCTAGCTACCTGTCTTCGCTCTTGTTTTTCTGTTTCTTCCCCATTGCTTGTCAATTGGCGCTCGGCCCCTCTAATCGGTCTCTCACAGACGCACTGCCTCCCGGCTCACTTTGGTCTCCGCTCAGCTCCTTTCCCCAAGTGCTGCCGCCGCTCGCACCCGGCTCTCCACAGACCCGCGCACTGGAACAGGGCACATATGGTGTGAATTCTCAGTGCGCAAGCGCATCGCCCTGTCGCCTCGGCGTGAGGACGCAGGGCGCGGCTCATCGAGAGCTGCGCTTCGGGTAGAGCGTCTCCGGTTGACCCGCCGGCCAGGCAGGAGCCCGAGCGCCCCCTCCCCGCAAAGCGTCCGCCACAGGCCGACGCCCGCGCGGGTTCCAGGTTCTAGAACCCGGAGGTGGACAATGAAGCTGTCAGTTCCGCAACCCAGCCCTCTCACGACTGGGGAATGCACGCTTCGGTTCAGGAGTAGGCCTTGGGCTTCCCTTTATATCTTTGTGTTTTCAGCTGTACGAAGTTCAGTAGAGAATCACAACGAACCAATAATGAGTCCTCTGGGGTTTGCGAGAGAGATAGACAAATCCAGGACAAAATAGGGACCTCTCAGTAACATCCGTGCATTATGCATTATGTACAGTCGCTGAATAAGACATAGAACAGGACACACCCGATCAATTCCCTAACATAGGTCTTCATTTTTACCCTCAAAGCGAGAGCAAGTTCTAAAAATTCCTGTGTTTAGGGGAGGCAAGAGGGAACCTACAGGAGTAGTGGAAAATGTTCTGTATCTGGATCTGGACGGTGATATTTTGGGTTTTAACTGTGCAGTAGTTAATTGTGCTGTATATGTTTATGCCTCGACTTAAAGAAAAATGTTCATTCAACGGAACGGAAACGCAGTTCGAGCGTCATCGCTGAGCAGGAGCGCAGCAGTCTCATTTCCAGTCTCGCGCACTGGACCGCGAGTTCTCAAGCACCGTCCTGAGAAAAGTCCGGCCACGCCAGCCTGCGCACTAAAAAACTGCAACTCCCAGCATGCCTTGCGGCCTTCCAGTTCGGCCGTGTACCGGGAGAAAAGCAAGGGCCGAAAACCTCGGGTTCCGGGCTGCTGGGCGGGAGGCGCACGCGCAGAACTGCTTGCCAACCGCCCTCCCGCCCCTTCCTCGGGCGTCCAAGGTGATATCGCGCGAGGTCCGTAGCCAGTACGGAGGCGGAAGTGACGGCCGGTTTGTAGCCGCCGGCAGCTACTGGAAGGCTAGAGCTAGAGTGGACCTCTCTTTTGAAACTGCTGCTCTCTCACTTGTCAGGCATCACCGAGAGCTCAGGTGAGGCAGAGGGTGATGAGAAAAATCCGACCACTGCGTTCCGGTGCTGGTGGACACTACGCGACTCCACATCCGGGGCGGGGGAGGGGCGAGGCCCCGGCACCGGTGTTGGTGTTCTGGCGGAGGCTCTTGCGCGTGCGCACGAGGAGGCGTTGAAGTTGGGGCCGCCGGGAATGTGCCCTCCCCCGTCTCCCCGGACGCTGGGATGCCACTGGGGAGGCACCTAGGGTGCGGTTAGGGACCAGGCCCCTTGGTTGTTTTGGCGGATACCTGTAAGGATGTCCAGGAAATGACTAGGGAATTTGAGGACGCGCGGTGTCTCACCTTTCCAGCAGAGTAGTAAAAAGGAAGAATCAGAGGCTGTGGTTTGAAGAATAAAAAGCTAACGGGGTTGTTGCATGGTCTGCTTACCCCGTTCTCAATGCTCTGACCACCAACACCTACACCCAAAATAGTTGCTCCTAATCGCTTCTGTTTCCAGTTATCCCAGAATTAAATTCTGGCCTCATCCTTTAAAATTTCAGGGATAAGCATTCTCTGTGCTTATCTGTGGATCATAGGTTCTAATGTGAAATTCAGTAACTTATTTTCTCCTCCTTCCAGCCCTCTCCCTGAGGGTCACAGTCCTACTGACATTTTCCTTGGGCAGTAGGAAGTGTGGAATTTTTTTTTTTTTTTTTTTTTT